CGTACAACGGCCGAAACAAGTTGACAAATATATGACAAAGATGAGGACAATAGTCCGACTAATGTAAATACTGTACATAATACCTCATCTCAGAAATATAGACAGACTCCAAATGCAATGCATCTTAATAAAAATTAGAGACATGCCATTTTACATAAATCAACAGCATTTTGCGTCAATTTTTAACATCAACTTGAGATTTTTCTGGATAAAATATCGAATTTTAAAACATTCAACATTATGGATGAAAAAATAGTGAATTTAATAAAGTGTTCTTTTTTTTTCGAGACTAAGCATGAACAAAACAAATTCACGAATTTGGTTGAAAAAAAAACAAAAAAAAAAAAAAAAGACATCAAAATCCGCAAAAAAATGTCCTTTATTAGTCAATTAGTTAGTCACGAAAAAAAATGCTATATAAAATAGTTTTCTCCTGAAATCTCACTATTAAAAAGCGTTCAAGAAATTAAAAAAAAAATAAATTACGGAACACCAACAGTACAATAAGCAAGAAAGTGGTATTTATGTTCTTTATATAGCTAATAGTTAATTAAATTTAAAGTTGTTACGTATATAAATGTAGGTAGAAAAACAAAACAAATGTTGGTAAGATAGATAGTTTGTTCCCCGCTACTGATTCTGGGGTAGTATGCACAAGCTATGCTTCTAATGCAGTATAAAAATTAATTTATTCATTTTTACTAAGTTTCAAAATAGCGTATAGTCTTAACTATTGGCTATATATGTATAAAGAACTTGTTTTTAAATATAAGTACCAATTTATTGATTATTACAGTGGTGGTGTTCCGTATTTCTTCGTTTTTTAGCACTGTTTTAACACTAGGATTACATTAGGAGACTACTGTTGTTAACCTAGAACATCCTAGGATGCCAAGTGCAAATAAACGCTAATTTTAGTAAAGAGACATGTGGAAATTTCACGGTTTTTACAAATTGAATTCTAGATGAATTTTAATTCTTAACGCTTAAGCTAATGATGAAATAATCCCGTGGCGAGCTCTACAAAATATAAAATATCCGTAGAAATTCCGCTATCGTATCGTTAAATATTTGAGCTTAACAACTTTAATAAAATATTACAATAACAATCATTAATATGGATGCTTGTCATTATTTTAAGAAAAGATGAAAAGATTTGAAATTGACAACTTTTTCCATTTCACTGAAACAGGCGTTAAACACTTTCTTTCTTTCTTTATGTCTTCTGAACATTTCTCTTAATAATAATTTTAAAATAATTCAGCATACAATATTATTTTATTTTATTTATGGTAATCGGATTTTAGAAGATTGCTTTACTCAGTTTCCATTGTTCGATATTGTGCACTGAAAATGACAATTTTATCGCGGTCGCCATTGCTTATCAGCCCTTTCGGGGCAGGTGAGGATCAAAAACTTTAAGACAAGCGGAGGGTCCCCCCGCTCCCAAGCAGTATCTGTCCCTTCGGTAGGGTTTATTATTCTCACTCTCCAATTCTATCTTCTCTTGTTCTTTCTTTCTTGCATTTTGTTACAGAAACCAAGGAATGTCTTTTTCCCTCTTTCCACACGATCAAAACACGGTGAGTAATATTTCGGCGTTCAATCGGAGACGTTAGAAGTATAATGTGAAAATAAACTTTAGAATGAACCAGAAAACCATCATAAAGACTGAAAAATAAAATTGACAAAGATTATTGTTTAAGGTTGACGGACACACATGTCTTAAGTTAATTAGTTTTATTTTATTTATCTTATTTTTTTTTTTACGAATTGGTCAAACCCAAACTCAAACAAAAAATTGTTTTCAATCGTTATGAGTCTACCGATTGAATAGAATTTTATTATAAACAATTGTCTTGTAAATGGAATTTTTAAAGCATTCTGAATGAAAAAAGTAAAGAAAAAAGTTTTAAGACAATAAGAAACACTACCTGCCAAAAAAAAGTAAAGTTTTGTTGAAATCGGTTGAAAAATGTAGGAAATCCGATTCCATATATAAGCGAACATACACGCACACACACACACAAACAAACAACCTGGGTTTTATAATAAGTATAACTCGATATGAGTCGTCCCCCTTTCATTCTCGTGATGCCTCTTAATCGTGTTTTCAAATTGATTTCGTGCAAAAACAATTGTGTTTTTTCCAATTTTTGGCGCTGTCAGAACCACCGCAAGGTAATTTTACGTAGTCCTGTGAAGTTTTGTTGAAATCGGTGGAAAAATGTAGAAAATCCGATCCAATATATAAACGTACACACACACACACACACACACACACACACACACAACCTGGGTTTTATAATAAGTATGATGCTATCGTTTATCTAAAGTTTCATTTTATTTAATGGTTAATAGCTTATTTGTTTTTGCCTTGGCGTTATATATCGAGGTATTAATGGGGGGGTAGTTTGTTCGTTTTCTGGTGTTTGTGTGTGTCTACAGGCGGAACATGTGTATGTTTAGTATGCCGACTGTAGGCTGTCCATGCCTCGCATGCATAGAGCAGGCATGGCAGGAGAACTGCTCCGTACATTTTGAGCTTAGTGTTAAAACCAAAGTTCTCTTTGCTTCCCGGTTTCAGTCTGCTAAACAGCCCCATGCCTTCCATATTAGATGCCTCAGGAACCTGCTCCGTGTCAAGTGGCAGGATAGAGTCCTGGACACTGAAGTGCTCCAGGGGAGTATCCGTGATATCCTACTGTGCTATCAGCTCTGGTGGGCTGGCCACGTCTGTCGCATAGGCGACTGTCCTCTCCCAAAGAGATTACTCTGTGATGAGTTATCTACAACTTTTAATTGAAAGCTAAAGGATTTTAAATTTATTATTTCCAGTAAGTAAAATATTCTGGTGTAATTTCAGATAGAATTTATAGATTGGGATGTCAAATTTAATTTTGATTTCTTAAAATTTTCTTAAAAGCGGCGATTTTCTTAATTTTAAGAAATTTGTAAACAAAACAAATTGATCGATTTTTTAAAACTCTTCCAAAAAGAAAAAAAGAAAGAAAGAAAAAAAAGAAATATATATTTCTGACACGTTGGGTAAAATTAGAAAATTCAAAGTTAAATTAATCTGATTTGAAATAAATATTATAGCATAAAAAAGTAATATACAACCATTTAATGATTGGTCTTGCTTACCATAGCTTATTTGAGGCGATAATTGATGGACGATTGAGTGATGAAAGGATGACAGCTAGTCTGGCTAACTAAAATTGAATAAATTTACGAAATCTAAGTGAACGCGTTTATTTTTATTTTTTTATTTTTTTTTGGTTTTTAACTACCTAGTAATTTTTACAAATGAACATATTTTCCGCGATTATCTAATAATTTATCGACTTTTCTTTCTAAGACGACTTATGCAAAAAAAAAAAATAAAAAAAAATAAAATACTATAAAATTTTCTTAAATTGTAAAGAGACAAAAAAACTCTTAGATCAACGTGACCTTTTCATAATAATGTCACGTTTAGCCTTTCTTTCATGGATGAAAGATGATAAATAAATATCGGTGTTGTGATTGTTACCATTGTCATTCATTGCCTAAACAATGACAAAGGTGAAAATATATGTATATATATATATATATATATATATATATATATATATATATATATATATATATATATATATGCCATTGTTATTACTGCATGTGGGGAAACCTATATTTTCTCAGTAGGCGTATACCAGGAATTGAAAACAAAATGAAACTCCAAGGTGGTCCGAAAGTCTTGTCACCCCTATATAATAATTTTCTATTTCAGATGACTAACACAAGCTTCTATTGCTTGGAAGAGGTAGCGAGTGACAAGACTTTCGAACCCTGTATTTTGAAAATAATTATCATACATTTTATTTAAATCAACACTTAAGGTCTGTTTGCTGTCTCACACACTTGCTAAAAAGTACGTTAAAATCTCATTTTATCATCCTTCATTTTTACTGGTAAATGTTTTTTGGCGAAAATTAAGGTTGTCCTTTGAACAAAGGACGCGGCCGAAAGAGCTAAAAAACAAATGACTGTTATTTTAAAGAAGGGCTGCCGACCCTATCTACATCTGAGATTTATAAAAAAAAAAAAAAAAGGATTGATATTTTACTTTCATGCAGAAAAATATGGCCATATATTTTCATAGTCATAGTATTTTTTATCTGAATTTTTAATTTTAAAAATAATTTCGCAAGCTGTAGCGAGTGGAATCTGTATCATTGTAGCCTTGTGCCAGACGAAGAAAAACTTAATAAAAAAAGCACCCGGACATTTTGCAGAATAATGATGCCACTACAGTTTTGTATTTCATCATCGTTGTCGGATTTTTAACCTTTTTAGCATGAAGCCTATATCCACTTTAAAAAAATAAATAAATCGAGCCACTTTAAAAAAAAAAAACAAAAAAAAAAAAACACTTTGTCTGCTGATCACAAAAGCGTAAAAAAACCCTGTACAAACTAATATCCATACACACACACACACACATATATATATATATATATATATATATATATATATATATATATATATATATATATATATATATATATATATATATAATAAGGAAGATTTAAAATCCGTGTTTTTAGCAATTATTTTTATTTTTGAAAAAACAGTGCTCGATATTTTCTTTTTGAAAAATACAATTCCATCGCGACACAGAAATAAATTTCTGTTTCAAAATTGAAACTAAAATTGTAAATTTATTATAAAAATTAAACTTCAAAGTTTCGTCTAACATCGCTTGACAATAGAAGGAAACTCTGGATTTGAAGTTTAATTTGTATAATTAAATTTACAATTTTAGTTTTGAAACAGAAATTTCTGTCTCGAGATGGAATCGTATTTTTAAAAAAGAAAAAAAAATTTATATATATATATATATATACACACACACACAACTGTGAGTTGTCTGCTCTTGGCAGAATAGAGTTACGGCCCTTGGATAGTATTTTCTTTTTACCAAGAAATTGCTTAAAAAAATGTCGTCAGATTCGAAAATGGAAAAACCCAGTATTTTCCCGAAGTTTCTTTCTAAGAATATGGACGTGAGTAATGAACAGGTTTTATTTATTTCTCCCCGATGTGTTTTTTTTTTTCAGTTATGAAATTTACAATCTGTTTTGACTGCTTACATTTTTTTCATAATTTAAAAAATTTTTTGTTTGACGTAAAATTTAACTTTTCTCTCTTTCAGCAACAATGAAGATTTAAAAAAAAAGTTTTGTTTTTAAGTTTATTGTGATGTTTTATTTGAATATATTCAAGCAATTAATTTACAATTTGCTAAAAAAAAAAAAAATATTAAATCGATTTGGGAGAAGAAACAAACTGAAGACATTTTTTGAGTAACAAATTATTTACGGTAAAAAGGCGGTTTTAAGAAGAAAATCTGTTGTCTGCTTCCTTTCATGTCGTGTTGACTTGCGTTGTTACACGAATTCTAGTAATTATAGATCATTTTTATTGTCTGTTTTTCTTTAGTTTTGTTATCTTCATAGACAAAACCTTTTTTACGACTTAAAAAGAACTTAGTTGCCCTTATCCGAATACGACCCTACAACCGTACAAATTAGTTTATTTTTTTCAGGTGCGTTCATGTCGCTACCGAATATGACACAAGGTCAATTTTTAAAGCGTGTTTAACTTTATGAACTAACGGCAATTGGGGAGGCTTTATAAACTAAGGCTTCAGTTCATCGGGCAATCAAAGTGTAATATTGCGCTTTGTGAGCTGCCGGGTCGGGTGTCTGTCGAACTCTCTGCTTGCAGAGAGGAACCCGGGCGAAGCTCTGCCGAAGGGTAGGGTTTCGTTGGAAGAGGTTGACGGAACTGGCCCGCCTCGGCGGGTTTGGATGGTTATTTATTTTTGGCTGGGCATACGGGCTCAGAGATACCCACATTAAAAAGGCCTTGTACCACATTCGATCCCCGTGGGTGGCTTGATAAATACCATAAACACAGTCACTCCCAAAGGAGGGGTACTACCTGGGGGGTGGGTATGCCCGACACCTGAGGCTTGAGCGAATTCTGAACAATCAAAATACATTAAAAATAGTGTTTTGGGTTTGTTTTTTGTTTTTTTTTTGTTTTTTTTTTTTCCTCTCTGTTCCGACCAAGAACCACGGTGGTGACACTATGGCTGACCTAAAAAGTCAAACTAAAAAAAAATAAAAAAACAGATATGACTTCGAATAAGTTCTCTAGAACATCGACAGTATTTATTTATAAATAAAAATATGTTTGTCCTCCTTCACCATAGCCTGATGTATGGGTTCTTCACATAAAAAGGACCCAGTGTCACAGTGGGAAGGTCAGGTCGATCGCTTGAGAGAGCTTTCGGGGATTGTCTTCTTTTTCAGTCCTATCATTTTTTTTTGTTTTTGTTTGTTTGCTTTAAAGAATAATCTTTATTAGTTTCTAAAATATTTGTAGTTGTCAAGTTACTGAACCAGAAGAAAAAATCATTTTCTTCTAAAGCACGAATATCAAATTTAAATTCTTTTAAATAATAAACAAACACTAACTAAAACACTAAAAACCCCATCAAGTAAAAATACTACTACTAAAAAAGAACAATAAAAAACACAAAAATAATAAACACTACTAAGAAGAACATTAATAATAAAAAAAAACACTAACAAAAAAATAACACTTATAAACAAATAATAAAAACAAAGTTTATTATTATTTGTTTATAAGTGTTTTGTTTTTTTTGTTAGTTTTTTTTATTATTAATGTTCTTCTTAGTAGTGTTTATTTTTGTGTTTTTTATTATTCTTTTTTTAGTAGTAGTATTTTTACTTGATGGGGTTTTTAGTGTTTTAGTTAGTGTTTGTTTATTATTATTGTTGTTAATTAATTGTTGCTTACTAATTTATTAAATTATTTGGGGGTGTATAGTTTGCTTCCCCGACCCACGAAACCCCAAATAAGATATAGTGATTTAAAAGCACCACCAGAATGATTGATCATTTCACCCCAAGCAAAGCAGTTGAGTAATGACAATGTAAATAAATGCCACTATGACACAAAAAGAGTTACTTTTTTCACTTTTTTTTTTTTGTTTGAGTGACTACAATTACAATACAATGTGACTACTACAACAATCTACTCACTGTAGTATAGGATTCCTTTTTCTTTTTTTTTTTTTATTGAATGTGTTTTTTTGACTGCTCATTTGTACTTGTTTTTTTTTTGTATGAGACTAAGGCAAAAAAACAAACAAAAAAAACGGATTTTGTACAATACTAACTAAAATTAAATAAAAGTTTTATTTAATTTTTGTTGGTATTGTACAAAATCCAATTTTACTATAAAACTAAAATAAACTTTTCGTCCTAAAGGACAAAACGCATCACGCACCCCTTTTCCACTTCGGCATACTTCTAAACTTCTTTCACCTAAAATACTAAAAATAGATATTGTGACGAGTGGTACTCTTGTTTTTGTTTTTGTTATTTTTTTTTTTCGTTTTTTTTTTTTTTTTTTTTTTTTTTTTTTTTTTTTTTTTTTTTTTTTTTTTTTTTTTTTTTTCGTTTTTTGTTGTTGTCGTAATTAACACTTCAGATCACAAATAGGAAATTATTACAAATTACATTGTTAAAAAAAATCTAGAATCGGGGCCATAAAACAGGGGACATAATACACATGTTTGTCAACAATGGCTCTTCGGGGAAATTGGAAAGAATTCTGAAGAATTAAATTACTTTATAGAATTTGTTAGATCAAGAAGCAGTCACCGAAAAACATATTGAACAAGGTTATACAATCATTAGCGCTGGTGTGTCCGCTTGTAATTGGCTAAAAATGATCCTGGGTACAATCATAAAGTTACTTCTTAAATTCATGAAAATAATTTTGTTTTGTTGGTTTTTTATGAATCGTTAGTTCATTCTCAAACCATAATAGAGAATAAGCTGTCATTACCTAAAACATTTTCTCGAAGAAAGAGGACCCAACAATCATCCGCACAGACCGGAATATGCATCTGAATTCTTATATTTTGAAAAGAAAAAAAAATCTAAAACGCTATTTGAAAATATGCAAACAAGAACAAACAAAAAGTTTTAACAAGACTAATTATGGCCCTGATTCTCTAGGTCTCTTAGTATTACCGAAATTTTCACCACTTACCCATTAATGATTGAATTACAATACTGAATTATTAGAAAACTTATTTGAAGAGGATTACTTACCCCACTCCCCATTTAGAGACATCGTGGATAACTAGTCTTCTTAAACCTGCATTAATCACCAGGTTCCAACACTTTCGCTTGAACAACAATATGAATAGTGACTATATATTTGGAAAATAAAATCAAAATATGTATTTGAAAAAGTATGAAAGCAATATATAAAAATTTTAACAACACCATTTATTGCCCTTATTCTAGACTTTTTTTTTTCTTTACCAAAATCTTCAACATTTATTCGTTTGATTTAAGGAATGAATTGAATACTGAATTTCTTTATAAGAAAACTTTGTAGAAATATTTATAGAGAGTTACTCCCCACCCCATTTCGATACATCTTGAATAACCTCTGTGTTAATCACGTCGGATTTGTGAAAATGGATAGTCATCTGCCTTCCACGGCAACTGAGCTACAACGATATTACCCTGCGCTGCGGGCTACATGCCCTCACTGAGTTATTAGGAGCGAGCAAAAGAAACCAGTTGCCTACTACGAATTCGGGCGCTACTATAAGGTCTGCCTCAATAATATGTTGTCTACCCAGGTGCATCACGGAAATCTGCTGTGATTAATAATGTAGTGTTCGAATTTAGGAAGAGGTGATGACATATTTTTTTTTTTATAGTTTTATGAAGAAAGGTCCCTGAAAATATTTATCTCAGTAACATCTTTTTGCAATTGAAAACCAGAAAATCTGCCCTTGAAGCCTTACAAAAATAATTCACTAAAAGTCTAAAACTAAAAACAAAAAAAAATTATCGGTAGATGATGCTTCCATAATTTAATAAAATACATTATTTTCTTTCAGATTTGATGGGAGGGTGGATTCTACAATTTATGAAAAATTTGCATCTATTTTTTATTAAGTAAAGATGTCTGAAGTTTGATATTATTTTGGCATCAGAAATATTTTTAAAAAAAAAAAAAAAATTATTTTCACAACTGCTTGATTATTTTTTGTATGGATGTTCCAATAGGAAAAGATTCTGAATCCCCTCCCTTTAACCCTGTTCTTTTATTGTCTTTTCTCTCCAGTAATCCCATGTCGTCTTAGTAGCATTATTACTTAGCTTGGGGTGAAATTAATTTTTTCTTTTCTTTTTTAATCATTTCATCCCAATTGTGATAAAGCTATGACACAAGGGTTTACTGGGTGTGAGAGAATTAGAAAAAGAAAACATTATTAAGGAGAGAGAATAATAAAAGATCAGGAATTAAGAAGACATGAGATAATGATTGGCATTACATTTAAATTTTTGAAGATTAAAGTTGACTGGAAAGCAAGAAGCCAGAAGAGTATTCCACAAACAAGAAGAGCACGAGAAGAAACAGTTCGCCTAGAGGCCATTTCAAATGTAAGATGATGAGACACTGCTAGCCAATCTTGTTGTATGCTTAAATTCATGAAGTTTACCAGGAAATATCCTCAGAATAATTAGCATAAAACTATTTATAGAAAAAACTCAAGGAATCTATATTACGGCAGTGGGAAAGATTCTGAAGCCGAGATGCCAGGTCAGAATGAATAATTTTGCAGATTCTTTGTTGTATTTTATCAAGATGTGGATAAATGGTTGATTTATAAATATGTAATATAGAATCGGTTTTCTTCTATACAAAAATAGAATTTACTATTTTGTTGTATAAGACTTTCAAATGTTCTAGAAAGAAATGAAAATTAATCAAGTTATATAGTGATGAGGGTGCCACTTTCATGCCTGCTCTAGTGGGGTAGCCTGGAAAATAAGATCGAGCCATGATAGTAATTGTTTGAGTGTTGGCATAGATTTTTAGTTTTTAGTGCCTATTATTTTTCCCCTTAATGCTGTTATTGACTACTGGTTGCCAGGCT